GCTTGTACAGATATTAAAACAAGTAATCAAAGCAATAAAACCTAATTACCGTGCCTGCAAAGCATCTAAAACATTAAACCAGTAAAATCAAAGTAGTAAAATGCAGAAAATTAAAGAAAACAGAACAAGAACCACTGCATGAATCGGTGTAAGCAGAATTGTCAAACTACTGCATTTTTGACATTGAAAACCTAATTAATCAATCAAGCATTCACCATACAATTCAACAAAGTGATTGCAAGCTTCAATCCTCAATCGAGAGACAGCCACAAGCTAAGTCAAGTCAAGAACACAAGTCTAAAACAATGTCACATGCGATTCATTTCCAGCAGATTTGTTCGGTTAAAAGCTAATCTAATTCATGAATTGAGGAAAGGAAAAGCAATAGAAAGAGTAGAAGATGAAGATCCATAACCAATTCATGAAAAAAGAGTGAAGAAAACGGAACACATACATGGAGCGTGTGATGCAAGCAAGGAGAAAACTCATGGAGAATGCTTATGCGCGCGAGAGAGAAAAGCATGAGAGAAAATTCGATTTTTGATTGATTCTGAATTCTACAACTTTGACTACTTGTTTCTATATTAAGTTAATCTAATATAAGCTTTAACTAATGTACAATTACGAGTTACAAGACCCATAACTAGAGATAATCCAATAACTTGAGAGAGAGGTTGAAGAGTCGTGTTATCTTAGCTTCAGTGCAATACCGCGTACTTCAAACGCTTGCAGTTTTTTCAATACTTCTTCAAATTAAAAGCTTTTGGTCTCTTTCGAAAGCTTGTTAAGTTAGCTTTAAAATGCCACCATTTTTATGATTTTTGGAGGTCTAGCGAATTTAGGATAATTAATTTACTTAAACATGCCCATTGGACCGACTTTGTGCGCGTAACCTCTCTTTAATAATTTATGTAAAATTCAATTTAGCTCCAAATTGAGTGGTTCTTGATCCTCTAGAAAGCTGAATTTGTCTAGTTTTCAATGCTTCAAGAATCATGATTTTAGGAACTCTATAGAAAAAATGATAAATAAAACAGTGAACCAATGTCAATACCCGTATACAATAAAATATGGCTAATTTACTGTTTTTTATGCAGAATTTTATGTTAAGGCTTCCAAAGGCCTAGTAATACAAATTATAGTTAATTAAGCTTAATTAACACATTATAAACAATATCTTAACATTATAAGCTACTTAAGATGTGCTGAAAATCAGTCACATCAATGCGTCAGTTTCCACAATAAATGATTTAGTGAAATCTGGAACTGCCAATGGAAGAAGTTGAGTGACAGTTGATTTGAGTTGATCAAAAGCATCTTGAGCCCCTTTATTCCAATGAAACCTATCTTTAGTCAATAATTGTGTTAATGGTTTAGCTATTTTGCCATAGCCCTTAACAAAACGGAGATAATATCTTGTTAAACTAAAAAATCCTCGTAATGCTGACACCTCTTTAGGAATAGGCCAACTCTGCATTGCCTCAATCTTCTTGGGGTCCACTAATACTCCATTTCCAGAAATAATATGGCCTAAATACTCTAAGCGGGACTGACCGAAACTACATTATTTTTTATTTAACATCAATTGTTGAATTTTCAATCCCTTTAGGGCCTCCTTTAAATGGTGCCCATGTAATTCCACATTAGAACTGTACACCAATATTTCATCGAAGAAAACAAGTACAAATTTCCTCAAGTAGGGCTTAAGTATGGTATTCTTAAGAGACTGGAAGGTTGCAGGTGCATTAGTCGGCCCAAAAGGCATGACCAAGAACTCATAATGGCCCTCATGAGTTCGGAATGCAGTCTTCTCCACATCAGATTTGCGCATTAGAATTTGGTGGTACCCCGATTTCAAGTCCAACTTTGAAAATATAGTTGCCCCTGCCAACTCATCCAATTATTCCTCAATTACCGGAATTGGAAACTTGTTAGGAATTGTTATCTTATTCAAAGCTCTATAGTCTACACAAAAACGCCAACCCCAATCTTTTTTCTTAACCAATATTATAGGACTTGAGTAGGGACTAATGCTGGGCTTAATGATTCTAGCCTGCAACATTTCTTGCACTAATCTCTCAATCTCATTCTTCTGCTCATGAGAATATTTATATGGCCTAAGATTAGGAATTGAAGCTCCTTGTTGTAGGTGAATAGAATGGTCATGGCTTCGACTAGGTGGTAAGCCTTCATGTTCGTGAAAAACTTCATCATTGATGGCCAAAACCTTAAGTATTTCTGCAGGAATCTCTAGAGTAGTAAGACATTCTAAATTCTCTTCCCATTTGAGTAAATAGTAAGAGCCTTCTTCCTTCCTTTCGTGCCATAAGATTGAGACCGGGACAATGTAGGATCTCTGGATATTATTTGTTTTGTACTGTCCTTACCAATAGTTAGCCTTAATCTTCCAAAATCGGCTTTAACTTCTCCCAAACTTGATAACCATTCCAATCCCAGCACAATATCAGCCCCACTCAAATAAAAAACATAAAACTGCTGCTGCACTTGATATCCTTGTAAGTCCAGAAGAAATCTGTAGCATCTCCCTTGACAACGAACCTTGTGACATCCCTTACTTCCACCACAAAAGAGGGTGTATCTTCCCGAAGCAACCCACATCTAGAAATGACATTAGAAGAAATGAAATTATAAAAGGCACCACAATCACCGAAGCAACCCACATCTAGAAATGAGATTAGAAGAAATGAAATTATAAAAGGCACCACAATCCAATAACACTACCACTTTTTCTGACCCAGTGCTGCCCCAAATTTTTCACGACTTCATAGTGGTTAACCCTGTCATTGTACATAAGGATAGCTGCAAAACAGGCTCTTACGCACTGTTCGGATTGATCTCTAATTTGACTAAAGAATTCTCTAATCTAGAAATTTCTTCCTCAGTCAATAACAACATAAGAAGTTGTTTATTGCTGCAGACATGATTCAGACCATATTTCTCATCTCACCGAAAACAAAGGTCTTTCTTGATTTTATCTTGTAATTTTGTTTCGGACATCTTCCTGAAAAGAGCCCCTCTAGCACGTGGCCCCCCACTATTATTGCTAGCTACACTGGCAATATCTGCATATTTACTTTTTCCTTCATTAATCGATCCTCCTAAACTAGTATTTTCTCTGGTTAAACTTCTAGTGACCGTATAATGCTTCACAGAACCAGTTGCTGAATGATTCCCATTAGAATTAGAAAAATAAGAAACACATTTTAATGTCACTAAAATTTTTTCTTCCACCAACTGAGCCTTACACATTAATTCTGCCAGAGTTTGAGGGTCATACAACTTGACCTCAGCCTTGATTTCATCTTTTAACTCATTTAGAAAGATACCCACCAAATAATCTTGATCTATTCCTTTTAAAAATTCCGCATACTGTTCGAATTGCTCAATGTATTCCTCCACTATAACTTTTTGAGATAATCCAATCAAGATTTCAAAGGGATTCTTGAGCATATTCGGTTGGAACCGTCGTACCACTGCTACTTTAAATGCTTCCCAAGACAGATGTGGATTACAGGTTTCCCACCATTGAAACCAGTTTAATGCCTTTCCTTCTAATGCTACCATTACCGCTTATATTTTCTACTCTTCCGAAACAGCCTTTAATTGAAAATAACGTTCTAAACGATTGGTCCATCCATATGCTTCGTCTCCTACAAAAACTAGTATATCTAGCTTCCTCCAACGTGAACCAGATAGATTTGATTCCGTAACAAAACTATTGAAATTTGGTTGACCACCTGATCCTCCCCCTGACTTTGCCACAGATCTTTCAGCTTCTTTCTCTTTACTCGTTAAAGATTCCACCACAAATGTGAGCCCCCAAATCGAGTCTTCCAAACATTGGAGATGTTCTTGCTGTTGATTCTCAAACTGGTCCCGTTCTTTCACAAGATCTTGAAGTATCTTATCGACGCTATCTAATTTGGCCTCCATTCTTGTATTAACCATTCCTTGATGCAGCCCTCCCCACAGCCAAGATCGATATTATTGATACCAATTGTTAGATCTGATATCTCTACTAAACTGAATATACCTCTTATTGATATCACTTGACCTATCTATGTGATAGTACAAAGTTTCCACACACAATGAATGATAATGCACTTTACAAAATGGAAGTAATCTTCCCATTCCTTCCCTTTCTCTCACCAAAAAAGATTACCCCATAAAACTCTCCTAAACAAAACTCAGCCCTCCTTGACAGACTTATATACTAAGTATGTTTTGCCTAAAAATAGTTACAATACCAATTGTTTATTAACCTGTTTTTTCTCTCCTTTTATATACTAACCTATCAGCAAATCACACGAGGATAAAGTATAATAAATTTGAATTTAGATAACTGGATATGGTCCGCATGATCAAATTGGTTGTGAAGAAAACTCATCCTTGACAATTATTATTTACCAGCATTTGATGCATATAAAAAGTGACCAAAACTGATGATCTTTAGTGAGTGTATACGTTCTCCATACATTATTCAAATGAATATCACCATTACCCACTACCCTTATACCACATATGTATTTTTATTGCATTATACAGTATTTAAAAATTTTTAAGAACAAGCACATTACATTTGTCTATATTCATCATTTAGGATAAATTAGTCAGAGAGCAAAATTTTTGCATCACATAATCATTTAAAGATTCAAAATTTACAAATCATGTTTAGGATGACATCAATCAAATTTAAATTATTATAACTCATCAATACCTTTATTGGTTTCTGAATAAATTTATGACAATTTTTTGTATTCTACAGTAGTTAGTCGTTTTTGTATGTATTAGATGAAGAAATTTAATCAGCACTATGTATGAGTACATAATTGCATATATATAGAATTCTGAAAGTTACATCGGAATGTTTTATGGATAACCAATCCAATGGATGTACAGTGACATTATTATTTTTGCCATTTGGAAAGTATTTGTTTTCCAGTAATTTTGGATTGTAGATAATTTTACACTTTGAACAGGACCCATGGTGGAATCCGGCTGTTGAGGAACAAGCTGTTATGCGTATTCATCGCATTGGACAAACAAAGAAGGTGGCCATTAAACGTTTTATTGTAAAGGTATACTTAATGCTCCAATTGTGGAAAATCATGCTCTTATTTCACATGGTTGTATTATTATATATTTTCCTCAGGCCCAGTTAATTGCTTCCCTGGGTAGGCAAAAAATCTGGTGGTGATCTTGCTGAGGGTTTGATAGCAAAGCCACAGGCTTAACTGGACTTTCTACCTTGTTAATTAAATATTTGTACTATAATATTTTTTAATGGATTACTCAAATTTTAATGAGGCGATGTGCTTGCTTTCTGCGTGCTATTTCAGATTGGTTTTTGATAAAAATTAAAGATACATTTGCTGTGGGTGTGGAAAGAAAACGGGGTAAAATAGAAACTTTTACAACTATTTTATTAGAATCAAGAAAAGTTATTGTATTTCTTGGTTGTTACAAAGCCAGATAAAAAGATAGAGGGAGTAATATGGATAATTACGTGTCACTTGTCAGCATGTTTGTTTGGTGTCAATCTCCAAATTTTGTGAATTTTCCACCTTGGTACTAAGTTTTAACTTATTATTGATTTGAATGTGGCATTTGTTTTGTTGTTAACATTTCAGGGGACCGTTGAGGAGAGAATGGAAGCAGTACAAGCACGTAAACAACGAATGATTTCTGGTGCCTTGACTGATCAAGAAGTTCGTAGTGCACGAATTGAGGAGTTAAAGATGCTTTTTACTTAGACCACCTTTGCTTGCTGTTAGGTGCATCGACACTTTCACGATATTTGGATCCTTGTTTTTCTTTGATCTCCAGTGTGGTGAGTACTACGCTCTTGTGACTTGTACCATGAAAGTGCTTCTTAGGCAGCAAGTTTGCCAGGGAGTCGACTTTTAGCATGCAACTTTCATAGCAAGATCAAGATTAGTGGATATCTTGATCAACATGAGTCAGGCTGTTTGGAAGGGGAGGTGCAAATAAGATGAACATCTTTGTTGTAATTGGGTACATATGCTATTGTTATACCCTTCTTAGGAGAGGGAACGAGTGGGAAGGAAGGAAGGAAATAGAGTGGTTTATCTCACTTTGCTTAATGTTTTAAGTTAAAAAGGAAATCCCCTGTTTGGACTTGATAATAGAAGAAAAATAGATTACAAAATTATATTTATAATTTATTTAGTGTGGAGCATGATTGTTGTTATGATATTATTGAATTAAATATCAAAAATAAAAAATAAAATTTAAAAGTGAATAAGTAATAAAGAAATTAAAATTCAAGTTGGCAAAATGACCGTTAGAAATAGCAAACCACAGACCCAAGTACGAGGTTTGGCAAAATTAAGAGGAAATAGACATTGATCTGTCAACGATCTGAAACTCCAAATACAGTGTTTGCATCACTTTGAATTGTTGCAATGTTTAGGATTTTGACTTCCAGCATAAGTATTACCCATTGCAATTTGGGTTACAACCCCCATGACTTAATAATTTTGGTTGTGGCCCTCTGATTCCCTATGCTCTCCTTTCCAAATGGTTAACACATTAGCAACCAGAACACATTTTCTCTACGATTTGTTTTCAACAAAAGGAAGATTAAGTTATGAAAATAAACATTTGAAGGGGCAACGTCAAATTGAAAAGGTGACTTACAATTTTAGGATGGATTGCTTAAAATGTTACATGGACCCAGGTTCCATTTGTGTCTTCACCTTCACCTTCACTTTGACAAGCCACAATACCTGTCCTTGCTGCATTCCTGACTTGGGTTTATATCAGAAGCAACATATGCACACTGGTATCTGACATTGGCTATACATACCTAGAAATTATAACATTAATATTATATTTTTGCTGTTACGATGTAAAACACAGTTATCTAACTAATATATCCAATACCCTCGAAAGTTAAAAACCATCTTCGACTGCCTCTTTATCTATGGACCAATTTGAATAATTTTTTATAGAAAAATAAAACAAAATAAAATAAAAACAATTGTTTTAGAAGTTAAAATTAACTTATGACAAGCTAAAAAATATCTCTTAGAGAAACTAACATGAGATAAATTCTACAAACTAATTTTAATTTATATATAATTCATTTTATTATTATTTTTCTGTTAGTGTTTATGGAAAAAATTATTTTAATGTACACCTAGTTTCAACTATGACAACGACAATTGGAAAATATTGATGGATTGGATTCCTTCCTATACACCAAAGAAAATCTCATGGAGAAACAAAGCCCTTGATAAAACAGTTGTTCAGACCTTGGCTGTAAATTGGGTGCTAGGCATCCTATTTCAATTTTAATGTTATTCCCTCTTCTGGGTCATCTTGATAACTGTAACTCCATTACAGTGTATATTGTTTGCTTTCTTTTCCATAGGGACTCAAAAATCAATCTTCTTTGCATTAAATATTCGCACTGATAAGTTAGCTGAGTGGATTGTTAGTTAAGATAGTTAAGAAGCAGTTAACTTAGTTGATTGTCAGTTAAGAGGCATTTTTTTTTATTACTGGAAGTTTGAGTTTTTTATTGAGTTTATATGTTTAGTAGTTCAGTATATATAGAGATTCACGCAAGTTTTTTTTTTTTTTTTTTTTTGGTGAATAGTCATTGATGCAAGTTAGTCACGCTGGTAAGTTAGTTATTGATGCAAGTTAGTTACGCTGATATTAAATTGAGCATTTACATGCATCTTGTCTTCTCCTTTCACACTAATTTGCTAATCCCAAATTTCTTTGCCAGTTCATAATTCTAGTAAATATTATTTTTCGACCCCACTGAAAAGAGACAATTTTTAACCTTAACCTGTTTTTGTCTTATTCTCTAATATGTCATTTGAATCATTATTCTGGAGTCTCACAAAGATCCAACGCATTGAGATGAGTAGTGATCCCAAATATCCATATAACCTTTTTATTACTTATGTTATTTTTAAGCTAAAACTGAAAGAAAAACCGTCAAAATTTAAGCTAAAGCTGAAAGAAGAAGCGTTGAAAATTAAGCTAAATATATTTTTCATTTTTTAGTTTCACGTTAAAATGGCACCCCACAATTACCACGCTCAAAACGTATCCAATATATGCCTTGTTTATTACACATAACAACACCACTATATCGCTATAAATACATAAAACAAGAACCAGTAACCCCTACTTTCTGTGACAAACAAACTCCAAAACATAGGAAAAACAGACACATTACAGTTCGCATTGTCACAGTATCATCAGTTTCTTTATGCAATCGCAATATGGCCGAGGGATGTCAATCCCAGGACAAACACCCTGCATCGGATGCAGAGCAAAGAGTGAAGAAGAGGGGTAGGCCTCCATTGCTGCTTTCATATTCTTCTGTCAAGAGCAGAGGCCGAGGACGTCCTCCTAGTTTTACCGGACCTTTACCAACACAAGTTTCTAACGTTGGTAATATATCATCACATGAATTTATCTTTTATATGTTCCTTATAAGTATATATATATATATATATATATATATATATATATATATATATATATATATATATATATATTATTTGTTTAAGATTTGTGTTATCGTCTTGTGGATGAGCAGTTAAAAGGGTCTTGCAAGAATTGCATGCAGATTAATAGTCTGCATTTGATAGAATACTACAAAGGAGGTGATCCATTTGATAAAGTAATTTATCAGTGTTTGTCGTTCTTTTCTTTCATCTTATTAGCATTTTTATTGGAGTATAATATGAATTAGTTTAATGAGTCATATCTTGTCATCTTGTTATAAGTTTTTCAACCCTGTTGATTGGGTTTTTAAGTAAAATGTTTAGTTGCTTATTATCTCTTAGATGCTTATGTTATTTGTTCAAAAGATGAGCAGTGGAAATGGTCTTCCAGAATTGCATGCAAATTGTAGGTCTGAATTTGAAAGAATATTATAAAGAAGGTGAATCTAATAAGTAGTCAAAGTCATCGCCTTCTGTTCTTTTGTTTTGTGCTTATTAAACTTTTATTGAATGATATAATGCTGTAACTTACTGAATAAGTCAAATCTTGTAATCTTGTCATAAGTGTTTCTACCCGGTTGATTGAATATTATTAAGTGACATGTTCTTGTTTGGTTGCTAATGTTCATACAAAAAAAAAAGACACAATGTGGTATTAACTGTGAATAATCCAACCTCCCATATGAACAACAGTTTTATGTTGCTATAGCTGAAATAAATCCTAGTTGTTAATCACCTCTACGACATCATGTTGTTGTTTACTGGCTTGGTATTTTGAATCTGACTAGTCTATGGTGTGTCAAAACTTGTTTTGCTTGCTGGTGAAAATGTGTCAACAGAGACTGGAGCAAGCTTCGTCCCTTACCAGTTCACTGTAAATATTGGAGAGGTAAGTTCAAACAATTTTCAGTTTTATATACAGTTTTTTTCCATTATGTGTGTTTCGGGCCAACAAGTGAAGAAGCATTGTATTTAATCATATTTTCATTATTATACTTAAGACAAGTACAAATTCTTTATATTCCTCTAACAAAAATGTTAACAGATAGTTTAATGACATTGATTCTAAATTCAATAAATATTTTTATTTAACATTAGTATAGTTTTACTCCTATTGTAAACTTTTCTTTCTGATTATTCTCTGTAACTAACTATCAGTTACTTGGACTTGGTTAGAATGTATGTATAACTGCTTCTGATAAGAGAAACATTATCAATATTTTAGAATCCTTAATTAGAAATTTATGATGCTTTTGCTTATCTTGCAGGACTTGGCAGCAAAGGTATTAAAATTTGCTAAAACATGCTGTCAAACTGTTTGCGTACTTTCTGCTGTGGGTACCTTATCAAGCGTTGTCCTTCGCAAGCCCGGTAATCCAAGCACTCATACTGTGAAATGGGAGGTATAAAAACTACATGTGTTAGTTTTTTTCATTACTTTTTCATTTCTTCGTTTATTACTTTTATGTAATCAATGTTTCACCTTTTTATGGTGTACATGCAGGGGCGCTTTGATATTTTGTCACTGTCTGGAACATATACCTTCATCCCTGGTCAGGATGATGCAAATGACGTACATAACTGGTTGAACATTTCACTAGCTAAGTGTAATGGAAGTGTTTTTGGAGGTTCCGTTGTGGGTCCAATGATTGTGGCTGCCCCTGTTAGTGTAAGAAGGTTTTAACTTTTTTTAGTGACATTATCAGTAACACAACCTCACTGATGCCCATAATTAACATTATGGTTTATTCAACTGTATAATGATCATATGCTTGCAATATATATAGTACACGTGTATAATGTATTAGATATGTCTTTTCCTTTTAAACCAAAATCTAAAAACAAAAGAAAACTCTAAACTATTTTAAGCTATAATGTGTAAATTCTGAAATTTTTTTCTAAAAGCAATAACCATTAGTTGTATAATTTTAATATTACATGTTTACAAAATGTCCTTAACTAGTTCAACTTACATAAAACATGCCTGCGTGTCTTCATATTTATGGTACATTCTTCAGAAAATGATCAAACTGACTCTGAACCTCTCTTGGTCTATTAGCTAATTCTTGCAAGTTTCAAGCTAAAGAGTATGGAAAATATTAGAAGGCTCACAGCTCAGTCTACTGCTGCTGTTGCTTCTTCTGCTGCTGCTCCTGTTGCTTTTTCTTCCGCTGCTGCTCCTGTTGTTTTTTCTTCCGCTGCTGCTGCTATTGCTTCTTCTTCTGCTGCTGCTACTTCTTCTTCTTCTGCTGCTGCTTCATCTTCAGCTGCTGCTGCAGATTTGTCCAGTCATAAGGACGCAGATACAGAAGCGGATTCCGATGAATATCTATTGCTAGATAGCAAAAAGAGTTGTGGTTCTCCAACATCTGAACTTTTAGCAGAAACTGATAAACCATCAGAAGAGTGTGTCACTCTTAAAACAACTGATAAACCATCAGAGAGTGACACTTCTACCATGAGAGAGCACACAGCTGGGTCTTCTCCTGTTGCAGATTATTCCACTTGTTTGGATATAGATTTAGAAAAGGTTGCCTATGCAAATCCATGTGAAGAAGGAGGCAAACAGAGTGGCTGTTCACCAACATCTGGACTTTTACCAACAACTGATGAAGCACCAGAGAATGTCACTCCTAAAACAACTGATAACCCACAGAACAAAGTAAGTTCTGAAACAACTGATAAATCCCCAGAGAATGACACTTTTGCATCAACTAGTAAATCACCAGGGAATGTCGTTGCATCAACACCTGATACATTTCCCGTGATGGTCTGCCCCATCAGCCAAACATCACCCGATATTCCTGAGAGTCCTCAGATATAACGGTGACATGGATTGCCAAGGCATGCAAACCATCTCAGGCCAAAGAAATTTCTCAGACGTTGAAGCCAGTGTCAAATTTTCTAGGGGGGCCTGTAAAGGTGAAAACTTTTTGATAAGATACTTTTCTTAGGGCAACTGTTCAACTATTTTTGTAAGTGAAATTGACCATTACCATTTTGTCTTCAATTCCCGTAGATAATATGACAGATTTTGATATTGCAGTGGATGAAACGTGTACAATATGATTGTTATTTTCAAGTTAGATAGAAAATAGTAAAAAATAAATAAAAATAAAAATCTTGAGAAGGCAAATATCGCTTATTTAAAGAGAAGTTTTTTTTTTTTTTTTAACATGAACATATCGTTTTCTTTTAAGAATTTGCTAGCACTATTTTTTCCTTTGGTAAGTTAGTCCACACAGTCGTAATTCAATTCTCAAGATTAGAGACTTTAAAGACACTCAATTTAAATTATTTTTTTAATATTTTTGTTTGGATAAAAAAATCAAATTTATTAGTTTTTTTTAATTACCACAAAATAAAACAATTATTTTAATATTAAATAATATTTAACAAAAAATATAATAAGCGGTATTTTTTAATTTGTACTGATGAATAGGGTAGTAAGATATTTTTTTATTAATATTGTTATTTTTAACTTATGTGGACTACAATTACATTGAATTTTAATATATTTTTTAATACTTTTAGCATGTATATAACAATTAGACTTTTAAACATTTTCATATTAATATAACAATTTTTAATTTTTAATCTTTGATTTTAACTTGAATTTCAATATATATATATATATATATATATATATATATATATATATATTTATAAAAATGTATCCAAAATTAAAAGTAATAGTATATCACAGTATAAATTATTTATCACAGGTAAAAATATAATTTAAATGTTAGAAAATATTTATTATAAATTTTAATCATAACATAAATTATATATTTCTAAGTATTTATTTATTATAGTTTTTAACTGTATTTGATTAAATACCTATTTTATATAATATATTTTAAAAAGATCAAATATATTTTTTTAATGTATTTTAGTATTAACTTATGAGATTTTTACAAGTGTGCTTATTTAAGTTATTTTACAAAGGTTATTCATTTTTATTTTTTATTATCATGATTTCTAGTTAGTGGATTGACAATGCATAAAGAATTATACTCTTTAAATTAAAAGAAATGTGTTCTATAATATATTTTAAATATTGTTGATAAATTTATATTTAGATTTATATTTCTCTTGAATGTTAAATAAATATTTACAAACTTCTTTATCAAATACAAATAATATTCTGCCAAACACATGTAGTTTAGTAAAGAAGTATGCATCATTTAACCAATTAATCCAGTTATTTTCATGAAAGAAACTCCATTCTCTGATTTGTTTGTATATTTCTCTACCTTTTCATACTCAATATGTTCATTCTTTTCTCAAATAAAAGTTTGAGCTTAAATTTTGTGTATAGATAAATCTCTCGAAGTAAAAATCTTCACCATTATATGAACTTTATTAAATGAGACTTAAAAAAAAGTACATGTGATATGAACTTTATTAAAAAAAAAATCACTGTACTCATAAAATGGCTTTATATGTCTACGATGATGTATAAATGAAGTTTATTTATTTTCATAATATAATTTTTTTGTTATAATTGAACAAAAAAACAACTTTTATTATAGAGAACAATGGGACTCTCTGTAATTCCTATTGTGATTAGGAAATAATAGTTTGACCGTGCAACCAAACAAGGTAGAGCCCAAAGAAATATGAGAAATAGTTATGAATTGGAAATTCGGAAAGTTTGGTAGAAACGAAACGGAAGCTGAAGAAACGCGTATCCCTCTATATCTTTGTTAAAGTACTCGAGGTTTCAAATCAACTCGACATTCCCAGAAACCCCAAAGAAACGCGCGGTTTCGTTTCGTCACCACGGTTTCCTTTCGCTATTCCCTGCTACAAGGTAAATTATTCCCTTCTCTATAAATATGTATCTTTACAGTAATTGTGCACGATACATGGATTATAGTACTTTCTGACATAAAACATAAAATTTCAGTTCCCAATGTTCGTATTAACGTTGTCACTTGTGTTATGTAGTTTGCTCTGTTTCTTAACGTTTTCAGAACGATGGGGTTAGGATTTATGTGGATGAATGATGATCGTGCCCAATGTTTACTAGTTTGAATATTTTTTTTTTCTTTCCGATATTGATATTTCTACTTGAATTTTAAGTAACACGTTGAATGGTGCTGCAAGGTATGTACGGAATAATATCAAAGGACTAAAGATTAGAGCTTGTTGTATGAATGGGTTGTCCTTGACTTGAGATTGTGATGATTGAAAATAATAACAAAGTCTATATTCATTACCATCAAGGTTATAGCTATAGTGCTGCTTCAAGCAGCTCTCTTTGGGTCTTTCTGATCAATTTTGTTGCTTCCATTAAAACTTGATGGGCGAAATTAAGAGTATTTAAAACTCGAAAATTATAATTGGAAATAACTTGAGGAAGAAAGGAACCAATTGTTTATGTTTCTTTGGATATGAAGCCACTTTGGTTTGTGCTTGACGTAATGGAAGAATCCTTCCTACGTGGAATCTTAATGATCAAATGTTTCTGAGCAAAATTAAAATTTTAAAAAATAATAAAAAAATATATGCCAAAATGTAAACAAGGATGTTGACAACTTCCAAGAGTTTAGTTTTTAACAGAGCATTCATGTACAAATAATGGGGTAACATCTAGTGCAAAAGCATTAAGTACTTGTTCTGTTGGTTTCATGGCATATTTAGAATTTTAATATGATGTTTTAATTGCTTGGAAATTTCATCTTGTTGAATGTTTACCCATTCATCGCATGTAGGGGTTGGAAGGATGCCATCAGAATCAGATAAATGGGGATGGAAGCATGTTAGTGTGTTTGGTGGGTTTGATAAGGGAAGCGGTACAAAAAGATGGAAATGCAATCACTGCAATGTAAGATACAACGGATCTTATTCTCGTGTCAGAGCCCATCTTCTTGGTTTTACTGGTGTTGGAGTCAAAGGCTGTCCAGCCATAGATCGGTCTTTAAAAGAATCATTTCAAACCTTAGAAGAAGAGAGGGTTGCTCGGAAAAAGAAAAGAGATTCTGGAACTGGAAAGAATGGCAAGCGTGTTTGGACTTCTCGATCTAGTCTGACTCGTATTTCCAAAGAAGATGTAGACGAAATGGTAGCAAGATTCTTCTTTGCTGATGGCTTACATGCTAACATCATTAACTCACCTTACTTCCACGAGATGATAAAAGCAGTTGCAGCTTTTGGACCAGGCTATGAGCCCCTGTCAATGCATGATTTGTGTGGTTCCTTTTTAAGCAAAGAGAAAGAAAGGATTGATAAATATATGACTCTAGTTAAGGAATCTTGGCCACATACTGGATGCACATTACTTTGTATTGGGCGTTTACATGGTATGCTGGGTACTTTTCAGGTGAATATATTTGTATCTAGTCCTAGAGGACTATCGTTCTTGAAAGCAGTAATTTTGGACAGTATTGATGGTGCAAACAATTCTGTTGTTAGTATCCTTGGAAACACGATCATGGAGGTTGGGCCTACTAATGTGGTTCAGATAATTTCACATCTAGGCCATGCCAGTGCATATCCAGAATCCTATACATTGCCGGAGTTTCCTCATATATTCTTGTCTCCTTGCTCTTCACATTCTGTTCACATTTTAATGGAAGATATAGCCAAATTGGATTGGATAAGACCAGTTGTTTTGTGTGCTAAAGAAATTGAAAAATGTATGACCACATTTCAGAGTTTCTTTCCCCGTATCTTCACTCAAAATTTGAAAGGGACTTCTGACTCACTGTTAGCTAGAATTGCTCCTTCCTGTTACATAGTCCAAAAGATACATGAACTGAAGCAAGCATTTCAAGAAGTTGTTGTGAGGGAAGAGTGGAAGCGGTGGAAGCTTAGTATTGCTCAGGATATTGGAAGTGTTGAGGCAGCCATATTAGGGGAAGATTTCTGGAGCAGGGCTCTTGTGGTGTTGCAAATATGTGAACCTTTCATCAAATTGCTTGCTGCGCTTAATATTGACAGATGCGTCGTGGGAGATGTACATGATTGGCGTGTTCAAGCTATTGACATGGTGAAGAGTATAGGAATAGATGCTGGTGTATTGAATCAACTAGAACGGTTGATAGAAAACAGGTGGGATGTACTGTTCTCACCTCTGCATTCTGCAGGTTATATACTAAACCCTAAATATTTTGGCAGAGGTCAATCTAAGGATAAAACCATAATGAGGGGTTGGAAAACCACGTTAGAGAGATATGAGTGTGCAAGTACAGTTAGAAGAGCTCTCAGAGAGCAGCTCAGTTCTTACTGGCGGCTTGAAGGATCCTTGGGAGAGGAAGATGCTGTGGATTGTAGAGATAAAATGGACCCGGTTGCATGGTGGGAGAATTTTGGTTTTGAGATACCCCACTTGCAAACCTTAGCCATAAAAGTTCTAAGTCAAGTTTCAAGTGTTGCAATGTGTGAAGAGATATGGCAACATTATGGTAATCCATGCGAAGAAATAACTTCTGGGTTGGGGTTAGGAAAATGGGAAGACCTTGTTTATGTCCAAAACAATCTTAGAATTGAAGGTCATAAAATGGATTTTCAGGCTCATCAGCAGCTTAGAGACATGGTGCTGACCTCTCCCGCAGAATTGAAGACAAAAACTGTGCTTTGTAGTTCTGACAGATTATGCTAATTTATACTGGAATCGGACTAGGGTAGTTTATTTTTATTAGTGTTAAATTAAATCAGAATATAAGAATCTGCCCAGTTGTGATTCTATGCAGATGGGACACGGATTTAAAATTAAAACACATAGGGGGCATTCCGAGAATTGAACTCGGGACCTCTCGCACCCTAAGCGAGAATCATACCACTAGACCAAATGCCCTGCGGTAATTTATACCAAAAAGAACATATTTTTAGAGTTTATCAAAATATTCTAATAGCTAATTTTAAACAAAATTCAAATAATCTAATTATTTAAATTAATTCATTATAAATAACAATCAAATTAAAATCTCGATGAATTAATAATCATTCATAAATGGATTTGCTCAACAAAATATATATAAGACCAAAAAGAAACATATTGTTAAACTTTACAATTAATTTTAACTTATTTTCCTTCCATCAAAATATTCTAATAACTAATTTTAAACCAAATTCAAATAATCAAATTATTTAAATTAATTCATTATAAATAACAATCAAATTAAAATCCCGATGAATTTCATATGTAGTAATCATTCATAAATGGATTTGCTCAATAAATATATATATATATATATATATATATATATATATATATATATATATAAATAAAAGATATAATACCTGTCAACTGATTATATTATGGACTATATATGTATATATATTTGTTCAATAATGCATATTATTCAATGCGTCAGAATAGTTGATTATGATGAAAAAGGAACGTAATATATTATATAAGTGATAAACAACCTTTTTTTTTTAACTCATAATTTTCTAGTTAGACGTTAAAATAGGTTTAATTTCAAAAAATAGGTCAAAAATTTTATAACTTGAATAGAATCGTACCTTTTTAATATGGGTTAGTCTATTTTATAAAATATTAATTATTTTATAATAAAACAAAATTTATTTTATTTTATTTAAAAATATATATAATTATTTAATTTGATAATATATTTTGATATATATATATATATATATAATTTAAAAAGAATAATAAATTTTAAATATAAATTTATTTATTTTTTATCATTTCTAAAATTTATCTAGATAAAAATATAATATTCAATCTAATTAGGTTAAATATAAAGAAATTTAAAAGATAAATAAAAATTTTAATCCTAATTTTAAATTATTTACTATAAACACTTTAATTTTAGATGTTCATATTATGTATTTAATAGAAAATAAATGTTCATATTATGTATTTAATAGAAAATAAAAAAATGTTATATTTAATATTTATAATATAATAATATGTTTGATTAGAAAATTATAACTCTCGTGATTTTATGATTTTATATAATACAATTTTTTATTATAATATTTCATAATTTTTATTTTGTTTGAATAAGTTATAAATTATGTTTAAATAAATAAAACTTGGTGTGAATTGGTTTTTCCGTACTTTTTGCATGCATGATATGCGCATTTCTGTTATATTTAAAAATTTTTCTTTTCATTAATATTTAATTTTTTTTCTCTTCATTTTAAATTCATGCAAATCTTTAGTATAAAAATAAAAATGCTGACTGTGGGGTCGCGCACTTAACAATTTTATATTATAATATTTCGTAATTTTATTTTGTTTGAATAAGTTATAAATTATTTTTAAATAAATAAAACTTGGTGTGAATTGGTTGTTCCGTACTTTTTACATGCATGATGTGCGCATTTTTTTTATATTTAATTTTTTTTCTCTTCATTATCATTTTAAATTCATGCAAATCTTTAGTATAAAAAAAATGCTGACTGTGGGGTTCGAACCCACGCGCACTTATGTGCAGAAGATCTTAAGTCTTCCCCCTTAACCTCTCGGGCAAATCAGCTGAATATATTATTGTTTAATTTTTTTTATTTAACAATATATATAAATTTCATTTTTTAAATTAATTAAATAAAGCAGCTTATTGAGTTTCGATTTTTAGAAGTTAAGCCAATTCTCAATTTCTAGATACCATCACATCTTAACCTAACCCTAACTCTATTTCCTTCTCGTTACAAATGCCTCAACATATACGCGGACATGTTTTCAGATGTAGAACGTATGTTCAGTCAGAGAGAGAGGAACGGAAACCTCACCTGAAGGTTTTATTCCGGTTAGGTATGTCATTGCTTGGTTCTTAATTTATTGTGTCGCCATTGAAAAAAAATTTGATATTTGATTAAAAGTTGTTAGATTGTACAGTAATTACATACTGTTATGTGGTAATTGTTGTGTATTATTCCCAATGACGAAAAGTTTAGTAATCTGAAGGGGAACTTGGCTTCACCGATGGAAAATCAATATTGGGGCTCCCTCTGGCAACTTGAAATCCTTGTTGCTTCTATGGTTGAGAAACCCTTCTGATTTTCATGCCATGTCCTCTCCCTGGTCGATACTTGGCATCCCGAGGGATTTCCTGCTTTTCTCCCCTTCCTGCACTTTTTTCTTCCAATTTCATCTATCTTTTTTCTTTAAAAAGTTGAAGTGACTTGTTTATCAGAAATTCACCGTAATTGACACTACAACTATGACTCATCAGCATTGTTTGTCAACAAATTAATTTTGAAGTTTCTATGGCCTGCTTAATGTTAGTGTGTAAAGTTATTAATGCATTGTAATCCCTGAAACAGTCTTTAAACTTGTAAAACAAAAGCTGAGTGAAATTTGATTATTGTAAGAAAATAATATTTTTATAAGTCTGATGCGTTATATTTTATTTCCATTATGGAGAATCTGCAGCCATGTATGTAGAGCAAAATGCCCAATTGGTAAACTGGAATGATACACATGATATTTACAGGAAAGTTGATGTCATGGTTACAAATAGTTTTCAAAGAAAAACAGAGAAAAGGAAATAAAAAAGGCAACACGCTTCTCACTAAGAACCATCTCCATATAATATGGTAATTACTTCAACCATGTCTGAAATAATTCAAAGTTTTTGGTCACAATTATCCACCATTCCTTTTCAAGAGAAATCTTAATATAAGGATATGAAATTGATAAGAGGATGAGTTATGTGCCAATTTCTATCATTAGTCTGTAATATTGAATGGAGACAATCAGAAGCATATTCCAGTTGTATGGATATTCATTTATGCGCTTGATTGTACGAGCTAATTGTATTTCTAAGTGGGCACATATTCTAATTTTTATAGATACTCTGTAAATAATATTTTATATTATTATTATTATTATTATTATTATTATTAATAAGAGACTTTTAATAAGGATGAATTTAGTAGTTCATATTCAAGCATATTGAGAGAATAATTTAACTGTTCTTGCTGTTATTGCTGACAAACATCAATAAGGTGGTAGATTTTGCGGGGTATCATTAGTTGAATAGCTGATGGATATCAAACCACAAAGAATTGTTTGTCCCCATGTATTTGTTGGTCAGGATCACTTGTAATAAGTATAAGAATTTTTCTAGAGGGAAAGTTTGAAAATGTTTGAATTTCAAACATTTTTAATTATAAAGAATGATAAAGTTTAATAAATTGAATAACAGTTAAGATCAAAATTTATACAAGAATCGACGATTTAGTTAAAATAAATTTATAAGTTAAAAATAAAAATATACTAATATTTTATAACTATTTTTATGACAAGTTATTGATAAAAGGAGAGATAATATTAAAAAAATTATTATAATATTATAGAAAAAAATGAGATAGAAATAATAATAATAATAATAATAATAATAATAATAATAATATTATTGCAGGAAGATAAAAGAAGAGAAAAAGAAAAAGAAGAACTTTTAAAGTTAAAAATAAAGAACAAAGTTTTTGGTCATGTATTGGAAATGGGATAAAAAGTTATTTTTGTGGGCTGTGACAATATTGAAATATAAATTATTTGTAAAATAAGAAATATTGAATATTTTTTGGAATACCTAAATATAAATTATTATTATTATTATTATTATAATACAAATGAATTTTTTATAATTAATTTTTAATATTATCAAAAAGAAAAAATAAAAGGGTTATAGTTTAAAAAGTATTTTAAAGTATTAAAAATATACAAAATTATATAATATTTAATTAGTGAAAAAATAAATACATTTGAAAAAATAGAGAAATAAAATAACATTAAAAATATTTTTTGAAAAAATAAACTATATAACACTCAACATTGCATATGTTTCCACTCATTTATAACTTATAATATGTAAAAGATGATTTTTTTTTAACTATCTCTTAGTATCATCTAAGAGCAAAAATATAATTTATATAAGTATTTTATCATTAAATATAATTTATATAAGTATTTTATCATTTTTCCTCTATTTCTTTTAATTATTATTTTTAAAATTTTTTCTCTTAAATATAAAATAATAAAATATTTTCCTCTTTGTTTTTAATTTCTTTCTCTTGAATTTCTATCTCACATTTATTTCTTTCCAATCATTCAAAATTTCATAAACAAATATTTTATATTTTAAAATTAATATATACATTAAATTTTAATAAATTAAAATAAAAAATATAAGATAATTAAAAAAGATGATAGTTATTATTATTCAGACAAAAAAAAAGTTTAACCCAAGCTAATTTGAATTACTTGCATTCTATATGGGAGAAGTATTTGAGAATAGGAATTGGGATTGTCTTTTGATCGTTTGGGTTTGGATGGATATCCAAACATACCCTTAACTTTTGTCCAAAATTAGAATAAAAGAAGTGTCTAGAAAGATCTAAGTCTTTGCCATTCTGGGTTATACCTGTCACTACAAATCCCCAATTTCGCAAACCCTAGGCTGCAAAAACTCAAATAGCATTACTTCTGTGTGGTTGTGGCAATGGCGGAACACTTGGCATCGATATTTGGGACGGAGAAGGACAGGGTGAATTGTCCGTTCTACTTCAAGATCGGCGCGTGTAGGCACGGCGATCGGTGCTCTCGCCTCCACACGAAGCCGAGCATAAGCCCCACCATTCTGCTCTCCAACATGTACCAACGCCCTGACATGATAACCCCTGGCGTCGACGCCCACGGCCAACCAATCGACCCTCGCAAGATCCAAGACCACTTCGAGGAGTTCTATGAGGATCTCTTCGATGAGCTCTCCAAGTACGGTGAAATTGAAAGCCTCAATGTCTGCGACAACCTTGCCGATCACATGGTATGATCCGTAACCTTGACCCTAATCCAAACCCTCGTTTTACCGAGTTTTATTGGAATTGATCGCTGTCTTTTTCAGGTGGGGAATGTGTACGTTCAGTTCAGAGAGGAGGAGCATGCTGCTAATGCTGTTAGGAACCTCACTGGAAGGTTTTATGCCGGTTAGTTATCTCCTTTTCTTTTCGTTCTCTGCAATTTCTCATTCAATGTGTATTTGTGATGTTGATGAATGAACGTGATTCTGTCTCCTTAGTTTAAATACTAAGTAGTTTTACTGGTTTGCATGGGTGCAGGTAGGCCAATTATTGTGGATTTTTCGCCGGTGACGGATTTTCGAGAAGCTACTTGCAGGCAGTACGAGGAGAATACTTGCAACCGTGGCGGTTATTGCAACTTCATGCATTTGAAGAAAATTAGCAGGTAAAACATTGACATCGGTGTTAGATTTTTTTTTTTCTTGAAGATGGTTGTGTTTTTTGGTTATGTGTTTAGGGGAACCTTCACAAATTCGGATGATTCTTTATTCTAACAGCAAATTACTAGAAAAGCTCTAAAGCATTTAGAGATGCTTCAACTCAATTAATCCTAGACACGATCAATTCTTGAACATCGAACTACATGTCAACGTTTGCCTATGATCTAGATAGAGAATATTTCAATGTTGTTCTGGATGATCGAGTGTGAATCCAAACTTGTATAAAATTCAAAGCTTAAATTTGTCTAATATTATGTAATAGGGATTTGAAGCACCAGTTGTTTGGGAAGCACCATAGAAGGCACAGCAGAAGCAGGAGTCCTTACAGGCATAGGAGCCACGAGGAGCGATCCCATCGTAGTCATAGCAGGAAGTATGATGACAGGGACCACCACCATGAAAGTCGCAGCAGGAGACACAGGAGCACGAGTCCAGGACATAGAAGAGGAAGAAGTCGAAGTCCTGGACGGAGGAGGCACCGCAGTCCAGTTAGAGATGGCAGTGAGGAGAGACGTGCCAGAATTGAGCAGTGGAACAGGGAGAAGGAAGACCAAGAACCTGGAAATAAGACTAAAGCTGAGGACATAAAAAATGGTAACAGTGGGCACTCTCAAAATGCTAGCAAATTTCATGGGCATCAGCAGCATGAGCAGGAACAGCAATCTCCAAAGGAGGGATATTGATCTGTTTTTTTTGTTCTGGTTTGTGTTCTCTCCCTTTTATTTGTCTATTCATTTAGACCTAGGCAAGATATTTTATTTTAGAGTAGAGAACACCCACAGAATAAATACAGCTCACCACCCATTTTCCACTGTGCAGGTGGTGCAGGTGCACTGCTCTATTATATGGAATGTGTTTCCTTCTTCTTCCCTTCCCTGTTTTTACTTTTTGGATTTTCAAGTTTTTTATCTTGCATGATATTTGATTGCGTGTGGATGTTTGTGCTTATATTATGTAGATTACCCAAAATATTTCACTGTGTTGAACTATGTTTTCAACCCTCTTTCTGCATTCTTCAGACAAACTCTTTATTGATAGAATGTACTGGAAATACTGATCAGCTGAGCCCTTTTCTTGTTTGTATGTATGATGGTCAGCTAAAAACATGTGAAGGGGTTTTTCCTGCGTTGTGCAGTTCCTGCAAATTTATTTAATAATTATCTATCAAAGAATTTTGTACTTTTTTTTTTTTTTAAATATCTGTTTTGCTGTATAGATTTCTTCGAAGTTGTTGTCAATGTTTCACACTTCCTTGTTGTTTGTTCACATATTTCGAAATAGCCTTTTATGGCATTTTAGCTAATGTAGTCCTTTAAAAATTAGCCTCTTTGATGATTAGAATTTTGTAACTTTTTCCATGGTCCTCAATGGGGTTTCCCTTTTCTTAACTGACTAATTCTTAACATTCAATGGGTCTCGCTCTTGTATGCATGATATACTAGTTAATTTGCAGTTGTTTGAATGTAAGCGTCATTTTACAGTCAGGTACACTGATCAACATCGTACTTGAAGACAAATGAACGACCAGTTTCAACTCTTTCATAGGGGTTTTTGTGTTCAATGAGTTTTTTTTTTTTTTCATGGAAATTTGAAATAGCATGATCTTACGTTGTTTTATGAGTTTTGCAGGTTCAGGTATCCCTGCTTCTAAAAGAAACGAGCCCTTTGGTTAATTGCACTTTACCGTGGAATTTGTGTACAGGTTCATTCATCATGGTACGCTTTTGGAGGATGTTTTAATGGATCTTTCAGCTGGCAAGTAATCGTGTAGGATGAATTTGTAGGAGAAGCCTTCTGTCATTTGCAGACTGAGGAAGATGGCTTCTTTTTCTTCTTTTCTTTTTCCTGGCATATTAGGATGCTTTGTTAGGTGTGTATCCTTTAGATGTCTATTGGTCACCAACCTTCGAACCTATTTGCGAGCTTGTAAAATTGTTTCTTTTATTATGCATCTCTCCAACTTCAAAATATTATGCCGAACAGAAGTATTATGAAAAAAAATATTTATTTTATCTTTCGGTTTTGAGAGGGGTGTGAAAAAATGGTTAGTATTTTTGAAAAAATAAATTTGGTAAATAAGAAGTAATGAATAATTAATGGTATTTTTTTGTTACAAGATAATCAATGTATTATTTCATTTTATCGGTATAAGTTAATGTCTTTTTTTTTAATATATATATATATATATATATGCTAGATATAAGGCAATACTCTAGTAATTTAAATGTAGGCCAAAAGTACTGAAACCCCGTCCTTTTGGCATATGTTATTTTACAAGAAAATAGTTATTCTTAAAAAAATTGTTTTTAAACATAAATAATAGGAATCTGTAACCTTCGTTCTTTATCAGCAGCCCTTTCAACATTAGATATTAATATTTATACTTGATGAAAATTACTTTTACATTGACATTTAATCTATTGATAGATGTACCTTAACATGTTATATATATTGCAGATTGAAATTAATGTTTTTTATTTTTAATGAGAAGATTGATACATGAAGTTCAGTTAAACAATTGAAGATTAAAAATTTTTCAAATCGAAAAGGTTCCCTTGGCATTGAACTATTTCCACATATCTCCTATTTTGCAATGTATTAGCAAAAATGTACATATAACTTAGCAACATTTTGATAATTAACTGAAAATTAAACGTTACTTAAGATTTTTCTATAAAATGCTCTACTGAGAACTTTAAAGGCTATAAATACAGATAATAATGAAAAAAAAAATGAAAGCGGGTGCAATTACATCTCCAAATACTATGCTGAATTGAATAAACAATAAAATTAATTCTCTCTTTTATCCTTAGAGAAAGATATATCAATTATATCTGAGATGATAAAATATGTCAAATCCATTAATTCATCATTTTAACCTATAATTCGTTTGATTAACCAAAGAAATTTAGAATTTAGAGTTTAAATTCAAGATATAATTATAAAAATAAAATATAATTTAAAAGTTATACAAATTTTAGAAAATTTTATTATAATTTGTAATAAAAATATCTCATTCACTTACTGAAAATACTCTTCTCAATCAAGTATGAATTCATTTTTCCTCCTCTTTACTCCTTCCATTGTTATAATCATCGATAAAAAAAACATATATATAACGTCTTACTAAATAAATTATATTATATACATTGTATTTTTTAGATTCTTGAATAAAAATAATTACATGTTTTAATTTGCATTCATATATTTATTGTTATTTTTACTATATAAACTTTATTTTGATTTTTTTAAGTTTAATTTCATAATATAAAATGCAAAACCAAATTATTAAGACATGAATGAAATATATAGACTTTTGATAGATAAATAATAATGTTATTATTAAATATTAAAAATATAATTATAAAAAGACAACAAATTAATTATCTAAAAAGTGTAACCACACAGCAAATGACTATTTGAATGCAATTAACTTCATTTTCGAAATAACTATTTAAATGCCGAAATTCATTTTACTTTCCTAAAACATTAAAAGAGCTAAGAAAAACAACACTACGACGTCGTATAGAAAGGACAAATAAATTAGGAAAATTGGAAACAGATGAAATTCAAATTCCAAGTTTGAGCTATATGATTTAATTTTATCATTCACAAAAATGGATAATAAAATTAAATCATATATATAATTAGTCTAATACCAGAAACTAAAATTTTAATAACCTTATCCGATTACTACAGCAAGTTTGACCTGAATTAGTCTAATACAAGAAACTATGCAAGTTTGACCTGAAACTAATAATAGCATTTAAAAAATGCAAACAAATCCCTCCCTAATACCAGAAATTTTGTTAAAATAAAATTTATAACAAATTAAAGTTTTAATCTTGATAGATTAATATGACAAAAATGACCAGGAGTAGTATTCAACGTGTGGACAGTAAATCAGTAACAATTCAAATAATGTAATACAGCAGTAATTTAAATAGAACCCATACATACCACTGGCATAAATTTAGAAAATATATAAAAGAAGCAGCAAAAGATCTAAACGCAATAATTTAGACAAAATAATTGATGTTCCCATAAAATCAAACAAAACTTCTAAAACATTCAAAAACCTAACGCCACTTGACACTTCCAGGGTTTACTAGGCAAAAAACAAGAACATAAACCTAACGTCCGTAGAATACTCACTCTTTTACATAGCAAAAAATAATACATGAAAGAGTCCACATACTGCAAAAATATCACTGACCACCATGCTTGGCCTTCTTATGTTGTTGCAGACCACTTTCAGAGTAAAAAGACCTGATCCAATAATGTAACAAAATATTGAAATTAGGTCGTAATAAATTTTACAAAACTAAGCTTTTGGGATTTTGTAAAAATCATTCATACTTGCTGCAGCTTTTGCAAGAGAGAACACCAGACTTGGGACTCTTGTCCTTGGATTCACTGATGGGGGTCTTTCCACCTTTCTTTACGGCTCCTGCATTTCCGGGTTTCTTACCATCTAAAACACACACATATTAAAGCAGAGGTTACTAGTGCTACTAGTGTATACTACAGAATCTAAGACCGGTGAAAAACCTCAGTTTTAGAATTTATTCAATCACTTCACTGCCAAGATACATACGTAAACATAGATTACAAAAATTTAGCACTACATCAAGTGACTATGAAATATAACCTTATCCAATTACTACCATCAGCAAAACCAGAACTAAGACAGCATATATATAATTAGTCTCACCAGTCTTTTCAGGAGTAGCATTTTTAGCTTTCTTGGAGGAAACAGGAGTTTTTGATGCAGACTCATTTGATCTCTTCTTTCCCAAATCCGCCTACAAAATATATAGTCAAGTACAAAATAATTGATGTCACCTCAACACACCACAGCCAGCAACACTCATGGAAATTAAAAAAAATAAAAAACATAATAATGACAAGTCATTAATCCATTACCTTCTTAGGAGGGGTCTCTTCACCATCATCGTCATCCTCCTCATCACTGTCATCCTCCTCGCCACTGTCATCATTATCAGCATCCTCCATCTAAATAGATTTAGAGTAAAATGTTACAATAAAACAAAGCACCCAGGTGTAAAGATGGACACTTGTGCTGTTATTGAAATGTTACAATTTCTGCAAAATGTAATCAAGAGTATACTTTTCACTACAATTTGAAAATGCAAATACGTAAACTGCTTAATTGTTCTGAATGCCAATGTCTATTGAATACGGTTTTTCTTAACACACTAATAATAAGAAGTAATTAGATGAAATTTGTAATTTACTTGATAAAAGTGGCATTTCAAACACAAAGGATGCATGCATGTAGATAGAAAAAGCTACTGCTGGTATGGAGTTGATAAAATGGACTCTTTCATGCAATTTGAAATTTTATTCTAAGCAGTTTGACCCCGACAACATCAAAAAACGAACTAAGAACCAGTTATTACATGTAAACAAAGTAAAACATCAACAAAAGTCAAATGCAAGTTTCCTAGATATAAATTATCAGTCATCTCTTCTAAATCAAGTCTTGAACCAAGTCTTATTTATCAACATCACTATGCCAGCACTATTTAAAACCCTTGATAGAAGTACAAAAAATTGCAAACATAACTCGTCTTAACAATATGTGTAAATTTGACTAAGGTTATTAATATTAAAAATAGAATAGAAATTTTCAAAGCAAGACTTACATCTTCATCTGATG